CATTGAATGTGTTCTGTACAAGCTTATCTAAGGGTTTTATTTTTATTTTGTTCATATCAGTGAAGTATGTAGTTGTTAGCGGACTATGGCTGAAAACAATGTAACTTTTATCATTTTCTTATGCTAATGTCAGTTTGTTGTTGTTGTTCATTATTCCATTTGATAAGTTTTTACGACAATGAATTTCGGGATGGAACTACTCCCAGTTCCCACCAAAATGCCATATATTGAACATATTCTTCCCCATCCTAACAGGCTCATTGAAATGGGAATAAGACATAACAGAAAAATTGACCAACATTCTAGCAAATAGGAATTATATCAAAATGGGTTACTGCCTTCACTTGCAATATATAATGTCAAATAGGAATTACATTAAAATGGGTTAACTGCTATCACTTGCTACAGATAATGTCAAAGAGGAATTACATCAAAATTGATTCACTGCCATCACTTACTATAGATAATGTCAATTAGGAATTACATCAAAATGGATTCAATGCCATCACTTCCAATAGATAATGTCAAGTAGAATTACATCAAAATGGATTCACTATTATCACTAATATTCGTTGTTATCTCAATATTTCAAAGAAGCTGGCTCCATCTTGGTTTTTCTTCATCGAAGATGTCGAATAGAGGAGATATCAGAACACTGCTGCCTCCAATCTACAATAGATAACATATGGCCATAATCATAAAAATGCATAAAGGTCGATACTGGGGAGGGCGGGAGAAAGGAGAAGAGAGACCAAATTTCTAAATTGATGAGATCCAAAGTGCTTTATGTATGTGGTATTTGCTTAAATTAAGTGATATAACATGTCCAGTTTTTGTTAATAACATCATATCTTGTTGTGTTTAAACTCAACATACAATCAATACGTTCTAGTGCTAAATATCAGCACCTTGTCCTAGTAGCCAAGTTGAACTTACCAGAATTAAGGATTACTCTTCCTAGTGATCACATCAACAAAATTTCTAAATTCCTATAGCCAGACACAATCGACCGATCTTGATCAGTAATTATTTCATGTGAAGCTTGACCATGCATGCACTTAAGCCATTATGTAAACAGCCACACAAAAGAGTCTGTATCCTCGTTCGACATCAAACCACAACCAAGCAGTGTTAATTGTTCGTGATGATTTACGCCAACAAAAGGGCTAACGACATGTCATATTTATTGGTCAGGTAGGTAGTATCGAATGTGACAACATCCCCAAACTCCTTAAATGCTTGCCTAGACCGATTGTCTACCCAGAATACATTCCTTAGACGTAAATCGTCATCCAAATCCATGCTAAAGTAAAAACCCGAACTCGTTGACTGCATTTTTGAAAAGTAGGATTGTATTATTTCTGCGTCTCCTGCTCGAAGTCGTAATCACCTAACTTGTTTAATATAGTTTTGACAATCCTTTTCGTTGCAAGTCATATTCTCATAACCACCTGCTTCCACCACTACCGAATTGTAGGATTTGTGCAACAGAATGCCATCTAGATCATTCACTTCAAGCTTCCTCTTCACGTGTGTACTCAGTTCTCAATTGAAATGGTACATCCTGGACTTCGTAAGACTTTTTTTATGATTGTGCTCTAGGTGGATTGTGTTGACTCTCTAGGAGCCATGAATATTCAAAGATGTAGATATCCTAGCTTTACAACTCGTCTGAATTGTAGTTTGCTGCTTGAAAGAGCCACTTTTAGTAGAACTTCTTTTGCCTTCTTGACTACATGTCAACGTCAGATATTTTAAAACTCCTTCTTCAACCTTCTTTGAAGTGCATTTCCTAATTGGAAAACCAATGACATAAGCGTATCTTTTGTAGAAATCCAACATTTTGTTCTCATCCTTGAACGTCATTCTTATCTCAGGGACAATACTACAATCTCCTTGTTCAATTACATCTTCCACTTGGTTCATACTGTCTTCCATGCTCTCATTGTCTGAGACGACCAAAATATCATCATCTACGTCATCCATGATTTATTCAACTGCGAAAAATATAAGCTCTCCAGTTCAGCAATACATTAACACTGCCGAAATCATTCATTTCAATGTAGATGTATGGATTTCTTCAGGCGTCATTCCTTCTCACGAGCTGGATTTCAAATGCAGAATGAGTCTGGTAAAAATATCAATTTCAAAAATTCATTTCCATTTAACGTGAGGAAGCATGGTCACAGTTTGAGCAAATTTCAATACCCCAATTTGGGGAAAAACATAAAAATGCATAGTTTCAACTATGGATGCATTGAATCTTCAATGATGCATAACTCATATTATACAAATTTCAGAAATTAGAACAATGTACTGCAGGACAATGCTCATACCTTACTGTGTAATGGGTCGCCGTTTCTTTGTTCACACGAAGCTGGAGCACAAAGATGGACGAAGTTCGAAGCTATAATGGAGAAGCTGATGGACCTTCACATTCAGATGAAGCTCGAGTGAAGCTGAATTCAAATAAGATGGACCTTCACCTAGAATAGAAAGATGGAGAGACGGTTTGACGAAGCTGGGCTACACGACTAACTGATGGTTGCCGTTTACATGAAGCTGCGTTGATAGGCCAGACAAATGAGGCTCGATTGAAGCTAGAATGAAAGACGATTGAAGCTGGAGTTGATAGTGCTCATACCTTCCCTTGTAATGGGCTGTCGTTTTCGTGTTCATACGAAGCTCCACTGGAAGACGAAGAAGATGGCGGCTAGTACATTTGGGGGGAAATTTACGTCTTTGTTGCGGGCTTCATCATTTGAGGGATTATTAGAGTGTTGAATTTTTTGGTAAATACATGTGGGTCCTAATTCAATTGTTGTTTATTCATTCAATTTTCCTGCGTCACATGGGAGTTTTTCATGCCGTGTCAGCATTTTCAAAATCGGATCATCCATATTGTCAAAATATTATGTACAAGCAGCTTTATTGTACACACACACATATATCATGAATCATTTATAGTTTTTTGAAAATAGTTAGAAAATTTTATAGTCCAACATTTTACTTATTTATGGACTTATTATGTATAAAAAAATTAATTTTTATTATGACGAATGGAATATTTAACAGAATTAATTATTATTATTATTATTATTATTATTATTATTATTATGATCATCTTTTCTTGAATGTGCACTTTGTTTAGCCCTGTTTGACGGTCATTATTTAGTTAAAATAATTTTTTCAATAATGATTTTTAGAAAAATGTGTAATTCAAAAGTAGAAGAAAGATTTAAATTTACACGCACAACATTTTATTGTGTGAATATATGACTAAAAGTAAATGTGTAAACAAAAAAAGGAATTTGCAAATAATGATTGTCAAATATAAGCTTAATTTTAGTGTCGGTTTAATTCACTATTTTTTTTAAAGAATTTATTTCGGAATAGTAGATTGATAAAAAAATGTGTGATTAAAAAGTAAATTTTTTTTTGAATTTACGTGTAATATTATTTTATTGAAAAATGTGTGATTAAAAAAAAAGATACAAAAATGTATTTTAAAAATAACGCAGATCAAACAAGGTGTAAAAGAGCAAAGGGTAATTTTACTTTTAGATCAAGTGGTATACATAAAAGGTTACACTTCCCTCACTGGGGGGTGAAATCCGCTTGAATAATATTTTTCTATTCAAGTGGATCCCACCCTCCATGTGAGGGGAGTATAATCCCCGATGTACCGCTAGCATCGCCCAAGAGTAAAAGACTCCCATATGCTAGTTGTACAATCGAGGTTGACAACCACTCACATGGGGGGTTCACCTCGATTTATTTAACATTTTTAAATAGAGGTGGACTCCCTTTCATGTGAGTGGTTGTCAACCGAAACTGTCAACCTCGGTGGTACAAATAACATATTCCCAATTTTAATATATGCGGTATATTCTTTTTGTTTTAAAAATCTCTAATTGATTCGTCTTCCCAAACCCACGCACACGTTCTTCTCAACCGCACTGACTCACGAATATACCTGCGTATGTGTAGCATTTGCTTCCCATTTCTCTTCAGCGAAAGATAGGGTTTCGGGTCTCCCTAATCACCTTTAAATTCAAACATTGATCTGCTCTATTTCCTTACATTTTCTTAACATTCTCTCAGCGTAGTTCCATTGATACTTTTGTTTTATTTATTTATTAAAATACACAAGCTGGGTGCATCTGGGCTGTACTTAATTGCATCTGGAAAATGCCTTGGAATGCTGGAGAATTAGGGTTTCACTCGATTCGTTCTTTTTCAAATTCCTTGTCAAAAATGTGATCTTTATGTTGTGGGTAGATGATTCTTTGTAAAACTGTTGATGAGTTGATTGTAGGCTTTGCAAATTTCAATCGTTTATAGTTGTGTGCCCGTAAGGTAGAATACTCTTATCTGTCATTGGGGCATTATTGGTGAATGTTGATTTAAACTGGTATAATTTTTGTTGGGTTTTCTTTTGGAAGTTAAATCTGAAGGTTCTGTTAATTTTGTGTTTCTTTGTTGGATATGTCCTTAATTTTATGGTTATGGTGTGTGTGAGAAAGAGATTTGGTGAGACATCTGGCTGTACGTGTCAGAAAAGGCTTTTTATCTGTTTGTTTAGTTTCTAAAGATGAAGAGATTAAAAGGAGAGTCTCCAAGTGCAAGGAGGTTCAAATTATCATATTTTTTGTTGGGTATTGCTGCATTATACTTGACTCTTATCTGCTTGAAGTTCCCCGAGTTTTTTGACACTGCAGAAGTTTTGAGTGGCGATGATAGTGATTTAGGTATATATGACTTATCCATTGGGAATGATGAGGATAAAAAATTAATTAAATCGCATCAGAATTCTGTTTCTATGGATGGATTTCACCGAATATTACAAAATAATGAGAATCAAGATGCTTCTGTAAAGCCTCGACAGGAAGCCTCACCGGAGGAAAAGGATGGTGCTCGACGCATAAAGCCTATTCAACATCAATATGGTCGAATAACTGCTGAAATTTTGAGGCGAATGAATAGGACAGCTAAATTCTCTGTGATGGAGCAAATGGCAGATGAGGCTTGGACCTTAGGCTCGACAGCCTGGGAGGAAGTAGATAAATATGATGAAAAGGAGATAAAGACGAGTGCTATCTCAGAGGGGAAGCCCAAGTCATGTCCTTCATGGGTTTCAATGCATAGAGATGAATTAACCGAGAGAGATTACATCATGTTCCTTCCATGTGGTCTTGCTGCAGGTTCATCGATCACAGTGATTGGAACTCCACGTTATGCTCATAAGGAATATGTGCCGCAGCTTGCCAAATTGAGGTTGGATGATGCTACAGTACTGGTTTCCCAGTTTATGATTGAACTGCAAGGATTAAAGTCTGTAGATGGGGAGGATCCACCAAAGATTTTGCATTTGAATCCTCGATTGAGAGGTGATTGGAGCCATCGGCCAGTAATTGAGCACAATACCTGCTATAGAATGCAATGGGGGACGGCTCAAAGGTGTGATGGTTTGCCATCCAAAAATGACGACGACGTGTTAGGTAAAGCCTCTTTGTCTACCTATCTTACCATCTGTATCACACTAAGCCCCTGTTTTTGCCTCCATTTTAATTTGATTTTGGGAAAAATTTATTTTGGAATAGTAATTTTTCGGAGAACTCGCGATTAAAAAAAAAGTAAAATTTTGGGTTTAAGTGTAATATTTTCATTGGAGAATGTGTGGTTGATAGAAAGAGAGAGAAAAATGAATAATAATTTTAATAGAGCTCATGTGGGGGCTAATATATAAGATATATGTTCTTTTGAGCATGCCTATGTCAAAATCTATTGGGAACAGTAACAAGTAGTCTTCTGTTGTAATGCTCAAGTGAAAATGTAATCTAAGAAATATACTCTGACAATATCTGACTTGACTTGTTGATATAAAATGGAAATGTGCTGGCTGGCTATCTAGAAGTGAATTTAAGGAGTTGGATGGTTTTGCTCTTGTTCTTGATGCAACAATGAAAGAAAATTCATGAAATTCTATGTTTCCCTTTGGTAATTAAAACTAAGATAGTATCGTGATTACGAGAAGACAATTAAATTGTGATGATGACATTGAGGCAGTGATAAGGTCTGGTTTCATGGATTGTTAACCTAAACTTGCCCTTATTGGTTTTTGTAACTGTGAATTGTGCAAGTGACGACATCATCCCTGGCTGTCTCTCTCTCTCTCTCTCCCCTTTTATATGAACTGAGGCATACCAGTAGGATTTGGGAAGACTTTAAGTGTTGCCAACAATATCTGCCTCTTTGTTTCCCTTTTTCACCTCTTTCACACGAATCACAACCCCCACCCCCTCATAGAAATGGGAAAAAGAAAAGATCATTTTCTGATTAGATGACCTACAAGAAATAAAGAAAATAAATAAAAATTAAAAGTTTCGTTGATTTTCTGAACTTCAATCTTTTGGCATGACATGGAATCTTCTGTGTGCTATGTTTTTCGCTGCTTCTATAATGACACTGAATTGTTATGTGCTTTCGTAAGAGACTGGATTTTTGTGATCTACTTTTATTATATATACATCTATTGATGTCTTATGCGTCATTTTGTTTTACATTGATACCTTGGTGTCATATATGATTGTTGGGTTTTATTATTTGTTTAGAACATTATCCTTGGCAGTTGATGATTGGATTTAAGTAAATATCTATACATTATCCTTGCAGTGGATGGATACTTGCGGTGTGAAAAATGGATGAGGAACGATATTATTGACACAAAAGAGTCCAAGCTATTTTCATGGTTTGATAGGTTCATAGGACGTGCAAAGAAACCAGAAGTAACCTGGCCATTTCCATTTGTAGAGGGCAGAATGTTTGTTCTGACTATTCGTGCTGGTGTTGATGGATACCACATTAATGCTGGAGGTCGGCATGTGACCTCGTTTCCATATCGGACGGTATGTTCCAATCTTGAAGGTGCCTGATGAAGTTCCTTTCTGCGACAGCATAATGATTTCTTGCAATTTTTTGAAGTGTGACCTGACGATACAAAGCACTTAAACAACCTGCTATGGAAAATATTTTCAGAACCTTTAAACATTTTGTTCAATATAGTTTTTTTAAGTATCAACTAGATGATCATAACTTTTTTGTTGGACATTAGTTTGGCATGTTCTAGTTTCTCCAGATCTTCGAATAGATGTCACAATGAACCCACCAGAGCAGCAAAAAAGGATTTCTATAGCTAGTCTGAAATTTAGTGGGAAAAATACTTTTTTTTTTTTTGTTGTTGTTATGTTCATTACATTTGTGTTTTTAAACCAATCCTCCTATTCTTCTGCTCAGCCTTGCCCAATTCGTCATGATAAAAGTGCTCAAGAACGTCGTGAAAGCCATATTTTTTTCATTTTCCATATCTGATTGGATTTCACAGTTTCTTTCCATCGCTTGCTCCATTGATTACAGTAAGTATTTCTTATCAGATGCATGTATTTACTTCAGGGGTTCACATTGGAAGATGCAACAGGATTGGCAATCAAAGGTGACATCGATGTTCATTCAGTATATGCTACCTCTCTGCCAACCTCTCATCCTAGTTTCTCAACCAAAAGAGTATTAGAGTACTTGGAGAAATGGAAATCTCATCCTGTACCCCAGAATCGCATTCAACTTTTTGTTGGGGTTCTCTCTGCCACCAATCATTTTGCAGAACGAATGGCGATAAGAAAGACATGGATGCAATCTTCAGCTATCAAGTCCTCTAAAGTAGCAGTCCGCTTTTTTGTTGCACTAGTAAGTCATTCTTTACTGTTGGTATAACTGATTGATGCCATTCTTTTATATATTCAGCAAGTGCATCATAAATTATAATGTCTATGTATTTTTACCATTAGAAGAAATGAGTACTTATGCATTTAGATGACTAATTGTTACAGGGTCTCCTTAATGCTATTTTATGTTTTTTTGACTTGCTTCATGGACAATTATTTTTTGCTTTTCTTCAATTCTATCATGTGTAATTTATTTGCTGGAGTCATCACTCACTTTAGAATCCAAGGAAGGAGGTGAATGCAATACTGAAGAAAGAGGCTGCTTATTTTGGTGATATTGTAATTTTGCCATTCATGGATCGATATGAGCTAGTGGTTCTTAAAACTATCGCCATTTGCGAGTTTGGGGTATGTTCGGCTGCGTTTCTCACTCTTCTTTAATACATGTTTTCTCTCTTCATCTTTACAATCAGTAAGCATGTTTAGCTAAGCTTTGTAGTCACTTTAAGTGAATTTTTGGTTCCAAAACATGTTTAGATATGTTTTTTCTAACTTTTAAGTAAAAAAGCTATTAATTTCAACATAACTCCAGCTTAATTTTGAATAAGTAAACTTAGGGTGCGTTTGATTGCAATGGTGGAAAGAAAATGTTATACAGGGAAAAGATTTGCCTAGAAAATATTTTGCAGGGAAAATGATTTCAAGTGTATTTGATTGGTATAATTTTTCACCCGGAAAATTTTTAAATTTTCTATTCGTTTGGCTTTGTTTTACATGAAAATTGTCCATGAAAGTATTTTTTTTCCACAATTGGTTATAAAATTTGTTTCCATTGGCAAAAAGTAAAAAAAAAAAA